ATTTTAAGATGAAATACAAAATTTAACTTGTTTTGACATTTTTTCTTCAGCTTTGTTATTATTTGTGTCACTGTGGCTCTCGCTGATCATGCTTTTTAAACCATAACCTGACTTTGTGGAATAAGCTGGTGTCTTTTGTGCTGTGTGCTATAGACAGGACCTTCTTACTGTATTGATGTATGTTTTGTAACAAAATTTTCACTAATTCTGCTTCTACATTTTCCTTTGCTGGTGTTTTTGATGATGCCTTGCTGTGCTCATTCTGCTCCCAGAGTGCACGTACCTGCTTACACACACATGTGCTACTGTTACTGCCTCCGGGCAGCTAGTCACAGAGAGGACCACACACTCTCAGAGCTATGGAGTTTCAGCGTTGTGATCTTAACTTTACACTATAAAATAACTCTTTAAATGATGACAAGAGCTATAGAGTTTTAACATTGTGAACTTTACACTCTGAAATAATACTTTAAACAATGACAATATAGACCACCTTCGCTCTAGTAATTAATGATAACAATTTAGGCTATAATGCTCTAAAATAATTCTCAACAGCTGTTAACAACCAAGTGACGCGCACAGGTACGCTCTTGGAGTGTTGCAGTTGAGCACAATCCCAAGATACTCCGCTCACTGCAGCAGCTGGGGGAAGCTCTCTTCCAAATTGATCGCAACCCCAGGCTTTTGAGGTGCAAAATCAACTGGGCTGTGTGGAGATCACTCAAGGCTTCAATCTCTCCATGACCATGAGGTTGTGAGTAGAAAGGAAACCTCATGCCCTTCTCGCGCAAAGATTGCAGTGCGATGCATCTGCTGAGTGTGTGGGGGGCTAGCGAGTAGTTGACGGGTAGCCTATTGTATTTGTAGGCTGCCCCCTGAGAGGAGAAGCCTAAAAATTCCCTGTTAGTGTGTCACCTCAACATGAAATAGGCACCTTTCAGGTCGATGACGGTGAACCAGTTGCCGGGCTGCACTGGCTCCAGCATTTTCTTGATCATTAGCATGTGGAAATGCCCTCTTGTCCATTATGCTGGTTCAGTTGGCAGAGATCCAGAACGATGTCGAACGGGCTATAGTGTCCCTGAACGCACCAGGGCCGGTTGCTCCGAGTGAAGCTGAGTTAGGACAGGGCATCCTCCTCTCCACTGCTGCTGGGAGAATGAGCCGCTGTTCACTGTGATAAAGTGCCACGGGCTGCACCGCTGGAAGAGACGTGTTGTCCGAACGCTGCTCTCGGTTGAGCATATGTTTACAATGTGGTTGTGTGTTTTAGGAACACACACATTGTCAATAAGCTAGCAGTGTTCCCGTGTACACTGTCGTCAGTGCACGGGGAACGCAAAGTTAGCTCGCATTGCTGCATTGTGTCACCGTCATGGCAGCAGCCCTTCATTTGGCTGCCAGGAGATGTAGGCAACCCGATGCGCGGGCCGGATAGCCGGCTAGCAAGGAGGAAGCCCAGGTCCTACTACCGTCTCACTCGGATGCCACCAGGAGAGCGACATGGGACATGGGCTTCTGTCCCAGTGGTTTGAATAGCGCAGCAAAGCCCTAGCCCTCCCACTGTCTCTCTCGAGCTTAGCAAGGAGAGCAGTGTGGGCCGTAGGTCGGATCATTAATTTAGCATCAGTGAACGTGCAGTTTTGTGGAGACTGAAGTGCGTTACACACCGAGCCGAATCAGTTGAACATTCACAGCATTTTCAATGTGTACACAGCAGCACATGAAACACAAATGCATGCTGGTGTGCATCAGCCTCTGTCCCTCTGTCACCCTTTTTTTTTTTTTTATAAATAATAAGGCTTAGACTTTTTCCAAGGGCTGCAATCGAAAAGGCCGTGGTGTCTTTGAACGCACCAGGCATTGTTTTACTTGTGGTGCTTGTGTAAAAGTATGGTGTAAGGCTTTTGAGAATGTGGACACTGTTTTTTGACTAAAACATGTTTATTACATTCCTCAAAGAGCTAAGTTAACTTTCTCTCATCACAGAGCTAACGTTAACTCCTGGGGTGAGGCTAACAGTTTGCCCTGCGGCCTTGTGTTCACGAAGCCACTGTTCTAACATGTGCTGCTTGTGTGTACACTGTGGTGATGCTTGTGAATGTTAAACTGTTTATTAGAAACACATTACATTCTTAAAAGTACTAATTCCCCACCACCAACACCATCCCATTGAGCTAACCGTGTTGAGTGCTCACCGACGCTAAGCTAACGGTTTGCCCTGTGACCCACGCCGCTCTCCCAGTCAGAACCAAGTGAGAGGGTGGGTGAGGCCCGGGCGTCCACTTCGCTAGCCTGACCGCCGAGTCCGTGCAGCCATAATGGTCCACTTCCACGACGTGACAGCCGAGAAACGAGCTGTTCTTACCGTGGAAACTGGGCAATGCAGCAGTGTAGTGTGCATGGTGTTCTTGTCTAGATTGGTTACTGTTGTTGATTACCTGATGTGTTTCAACTGTGCTTCCCTCCCTGCTCATTTGCCTGTGTATATAGTGCCCTCAGTGGTGTTTAGTGTTTGTGACGTCCTCGTCTGTGTGGAGTGTTGTATCTCACACAGGCTCTGCCCTCTACTGGACTCTATGGGTATTACCTCTTCCAATCATATGCACGCATGCACTTGCCCACTGAAATTTTATCGTGCATGTAGCCGACCAATAGAACGTTGCTACCGATACTTGCATGACGTATAAATAGCAGTGTCCCTACTGCCTCAGCATCCTTTTTTCTTCAGCAAACGGCAAACTACTCACTGAATTCACCACCTCCACGGATGGAGTCGCCAATGCCTGGACTCGTCCGGGCAGGCATGGGTCACCTCGCCCGGGTGCAAAGATAATTTTCTAGAAGTGGCTTAGTTAGTGTCATCTGACTTTATATCTTCTACTGCCACCTGTAGGTCTTTGTAAACAAATGTTCTGAGGAGTTTCTGTAAAGCCTCTCTGCTTCCTTTAACCAGTGTGTGTCTCTGGCACAGTAATACACAGCAGAGTCCTCTGTCCTTAAGTTGGACAGTCTCAGATGCACCAGAGAAAGATTCATTGATTTATTGATTAATATGTTTTTGTTCATTTAAGTGAGTCTCTTAAAGGTTTCAGTCTTCAAATTGTGGCTGTTTAAAACCACAGCTACACAGAAAAACTTGGAGTCTCTCCCCTGTGGTCAAAGGTCCAGGCTCAACAGGTACCTTTGTACAGGTCCCATGTAGAGGAGGTTAAGGGGAACTATCTGCACCATGGTGGCCATTAAGCCCATGAGGAAAATGCAGAGCCCCCAGTTGACCTGAATGTAGCTGGAACTGGCAGAGGCAAGCTTTGAGGACTAGCTGTCTCTTGTGGGTCAGGACTAGGGTCGCCCTCCTGGAATCCAGAAGCATGTCCAGAAATATTAATTAATTAATATAACTGGAAGGGCTGGAGCTTGCTCTTTTTATCGTTCACCAACAGTCCCAGACTCTGAATGTGCTCCAAGGGAACTACAACACTCAGCAAGCAAACTATAAGAAAAGGTAAAAAATATAGAAACAATGAAGGTTCTTTTCAGGTTCATTTTAAAAATTGGCCTCAGTGTGTATAGCATGAACATATTATTGTAGGCTTGGTTTGAGATTGTCTACTAAAGTTCTTCTTCTTTTTCTTTTTAAGTTTTGTCAAACTGCATTTTATTAACGTGTTTCGAGGGAAACTCTGACATCCAACAAGTTTTCTGTTGCGTGTTCTTACTTTTTGGGCTTTTTTTTGTGAACAAACCGCAAGTACAAGATTATTAATAAGGAACTAAAATTTGTAAAATTCAGATGCATGAATCAAATAATTGAATGAGTTCAACAAACGAGAGACTATGTTATTTACGTGTTTGGTTATTGTTGTAGGTTAATGATGGTTTTCTCAGTTTACTGATTGTACATAAAACAAAAATAAAAATAAGGTTGGTAGGTTTTTGTAAAGCTGCTCAACCAACTCAAGTCACTGTGGCTCTCAAGCACAATAATAAACAGCAGAATCTTCAGTCTTCAGACTGTTCATCTGCAGATACAGCTGCTGTCTGCTGTTGTCTCTGGAGATGGTAAACCGGCCTTGAACTGACTGAGAGTAGTGTTTGCTGCTACCATCATAATAGATTAAAGCAACCCACTCCAATCCTTTTCCAGGAGCCTGTCTGACCCAGTGCATGTTGTAGTCGCTGAATGTGAATCCAGAGGCTGTACATGTCAATCTGTGGGATTCTCCAGGCCTTTTAACCACTGGTTCAGATTCTGTCAGAGTCTGACCATCAACACCTGTCAAGAGGAGAAAAATGCATCAAGTGAAATAACCTGGTGACACAAATATATGATATAAAATTGAAGATCTTCACCTGCCCAGCAGACAGTTAAAAGCAGCAGTCCTGTCCTATAGTCCATCATGTTAAACTGTGTGTCCACTGTTCTCTGACATCCTCTCTGCAGTCAGATAAGTAGAGGTGGAAGACATCTGAGTTTTGCATTGACTCCTCCTCACAGTGTGGAACTGGATTTGACTTGGATCTCAGTTACTGTTTGGTGAAACTGGAGAATCAGTGTTTACTGTACATGAGTCATTCCTACAAGAGTCCCTCTTTCATGTTTCAGTATAATTTGTGTAATACGTTGGCAAACACATTATTAAATTGGTTGCTTCATTAGAAGTCTGTATAATGTAACGACCTTGGCATCAGTTAATCGCTGTTTCAAATTTGCACACTTCTAGCATGCAGATGCTTATAAAGGCTCACAATTTTACTTTTTTGTTAGGACTTGTGTGTTTGACATTTGTCTTTACAATACTCTTTGTAACGTGAACTTGTGTACTGCTGTTATGACATGCAATCCCCAGTAACAAATTAAGTATGTAGATTATATGTCAGTCAGCCATTAAACTCATAACTCTTATTAGGGTTTGGTGTAGGGTTACACAGATTCATCAAATGTATACAGAGATTTTTTTATAAAGAAGAAATAAAAACATTTTTTCATTTTACTTGTTTATATGTATTTAGTTTGCAAATGAATTTAACATTCTGCTTTGTGATAAATGTGAAAAAAAGTGATACTAAGCCAACTGAATCTTCCCAGTAGTTTTTGTATGACTCTCCTGTTAATGTGTTTCACTGTGGATCTCTGGCACAGTAATACACAGCAGTGTCTTCAGGCTGCACATTCTGTCCGTTTAGAGTCACTCTGTTGCTGGAAGAGTCTAAGTCGATACTGAACTTGTTCTTTAGTGAATCTTTGTAGTATGAATATCCAGTATTTTTCATTCCAATCCACTCCAGTTCTTTCCCTGCAGGCTGTCTGATCCAAGCTGTGAAGCTGCCAAGTGAATAAGAGACCTGACAGGTGATGGTCAGACGTTGACCTGGCTGCACAGTCACAGAGGCTGGCTGTGTCAACTGTTCACACTTCACACCTGTTAAAAAAAGAAAATGTTTAGTAACAAATGATCAAGTTATACTGCAAAAGAAGAACTGCTGACTTTGACAAATCCAGAGAGACTCACATCCAGCTCCCAACAGCAGCAGCAGAGCTACAGAAAACATGGTTTATGTTGAAAGTGACGTGCTGTGAACTCCACTGACAGCCTGATGGGAAGTTTTTATAGCTGAGTAACAAGGAAGGTCACTGAGTTTGCATAGAATCAAACACATGAAGCATCAATGTTGGTCTAACTGGAGCCAATAGAAGAGTCTGTTGACTGTTATTATATCTGCAGAGTGAAAACATGCCTGGAAATCACCTCTGCTTTACATATATTTTCATTTCAATGCACATTATTTCATTATAACTATTCTTAATGGAAATATTGACATGAATCATGGATAATGGAAAACATATTCATTAAAATAATATTGCTGCAAACACAAATACAGTGACAGCAGCCGGGATCATGTAGATGGTATAAAGACTTAAGTCTGATGCTGCTGGTTTGAAGGTTTGCGTAAAAGACGATGATGAATAATTTCAGTGTTTGCAGATGTCAAAGACATCATTTCAAGACGAAAACAGTTGCTCAGGAAATGAAACGTGTGTGACTAAATGCAAAAACCATGTTTTTTATATTAGAAAAAACTAAAGTAGTTCACGCATTTATATGTTACTTTATGTGATTATAACTACATTTTACATTTATCTGTGTCTGATTATGTCAGAAACAAAACTTAATCAATAAGTCTTAATCAGATATTATGCTAGGTGGTTATTTGTTGTCGGGATGTTGTTTGTTGTATAAAAAAAATAAACTTAAATATGCTGTCATACTTTTCTGTTGAAAATGTGCTGAATCAAGTTAACACATAACTTTTGTTTGGGGTAGAAAAGTATCAACTATCACAGTATCCAGTGTACATGTTAAACTTTAGTTCAGTCCAGTAAGTGTCAGTTAAGATCAATGAGAACAGCAGATCTGAGTGTCTCCTTTTAGAAACTTGACACTGACTGCCCTCTAGTGATTTTGTGAAAGAATCTGCAACATTTTGTGTCACTTTCATATTATGACTCACTTTAGATTCCACATAATTTACAAACATTAATGTATCTACAAAGTGATGCAGACGCATCATTATGTAGTAACCACTATCCATGAGCAGAATTTATAAACGAACAGCAGATTTGATTAGAATATAATGAAAAGCTGTAGGCTTTGCTTGAAGAGACACACAATAAAGTTTGTTACAAATTTAATAACAAACTGGATAAAAACCATCAAGTTCTTAAAATAACTTCAGCACAGAGAAAGCAACACAAACATTAAATCACGACAGTTATTAAAACATTTATCAATACACCTGTTTCGCATAAACATGTAGTGCGCAATATTTTAATCTGCTCAGTCTCTCATCCACCACAGCTGTGTTGTGGTTTTACACAAGCACAGCGCTGATTCGGCTAATAGCTAATTGTTACAAACAGGCTAAAGTTAAGGATTTCTGTCTTTAATAACTGTTTAGCTTAGTTTATCCCGTACATTAAAATATTGCACATATAAACTCATGTGCTGGCTCAACCAGCTCCTGTCTTTTTCAGAGCAAGAGCAGTATACCGAACACTCAACTAGTAGCTTCAGCAGATTGATATTTCTTGATTTCAAAGTCAAGAGTCACATTTTTTCATGAAAAATATTAATTCATATACAAAATTACTGAATGTTTATAAATTTTGCATTTCTCAATTCAGATCTTCAGTTTTGGGATGTATAGATGCTTGTGTAAAATAAGGTCTGTTGAATGTATTAGGCTAAAGCTGCATTATATCAGTGTGCCAGGTATATATTTATTCAAAATTTGAATAAAAAAGTATTGGATTGGACTTGCATTTGCAAAGAAGTCTAGCTCGGACAAAAATATACAGTATATTTGGGACATCCCTAGTATATAGAGAAAAACAATGAGCACAGTCTGCAGCAAAGTGTAAATATATATTATTGGTATTTTAGCCTTTTTTCTTATGTTTCACTAAAGCAAACGCAAGACATCAATGTGGAGCAGACTGTATGTCTCAGATGTCTACCAGCTCTGCTGCAAGGAGACGACACAGAGCAGTTCTACACCTGCAAGGCTGATGTACACTTAACATGGTCAAGCAATAGTAGGTCAAGCATTTAATGAAATATTTATCAAAACCAACATTTCGACGCTGCCTGCTTTGGTTGTTTGATAAACTGATCAAGAACAATATTTTGATTAGTGGTTCACTGTGCATGCAGAGCCTGCTTGTAATATTTCCACTGTGTCTGTGTCTTATTACGTAATACCAGTTAACATCTCTGTGTGTTTATCTCTGCTGAAAATGCTAAAATGGGTTGCCAAATATACTTCGGCAGCTGTCAATATTCCTGGGCGGCCCAAGTATATGTGGGGAACACTATTTAAATTTTGTAAATATTACACTGTAAACCTATTTTATTTTCTTCCAACTGTGTCATGATTGAGTGATACTGTAGTGTCATCTAAATTGGATTGTGATGGTCCTGGTCAACTACCTCTGGTCTTCTATGAGGAGTTTGCAGATGTTCTTCCCATCTTCATGTTTGTTTCCTCTGGGTGCTCTAATTGGCTCCCACCTAACTTAAAACTCCATCACAGTAGCAGGATATGTCTTGCCACTGTGTCCACTTAAAAACAATTCATATAGCATGAGACAATTTGATTCTATTAACCATAAAAACCTGGAGGACATAATACAACATCTGAAATCCTCTTCATGTTGCCTTGATATTCTGCCAACAGGTTTTTTCAAAAATGTTTCTATAAATTGTCAACATGTCTCTCATTTCAGGTTTGTTCCCACAGGCCCAGAAAACTGAAGTCATTAAGCCACTCTTAAAAAAGAGCAATCTAGACAGGTCTCTAATGAGCAATTATAGGCCCATATCAAATCCCATTTGTAAGTAAAATCATTGAAAAAGCTGTTTTTCAACAGCTTTGTGCTTTCTTGGCACTAAATAACACACCACAGCACTGAGATGGCTCTTGTTAAGGTCTTGAGTGACATCCATTTAAATACTGACAGTGGCAGAATTTCAGTCTTAGTATTATTGGATCTCAGTGCTGCATTCGACACGGTCATTCAAAAATCCCGAGTGATGGTGTCTTTACACTTAAGACCCGCTTCTGGGCCCATGTGATCTCATTTTTCCATCGTAGCCCGCTTTTCTCTGTTCTTCCTCGGTGCGGTCTGGCGCTAAAGTGAGCGCACACAGCAGAGACTACTGGGTGCGCCAAGGGTCAAAATAGCGCTGCTTTAAGGCCCTAGTTTTTATGTGGGCTACAGTCTATGGTAACGAGGAGACATGGTTGAGAAGGGCGGCTTGACCAGAAACCATACTTTCACTTGTTTACTGTGTTAAAAACAAAGTCAATATTGAGTTTTTTTTATTCAGTTGTGTATGGAACGCAAGTAACGTTCTGTTTCAAAACGTTATTCACTAGTTTTATTTTGAAAAAGTAACTGGACGTTGTGTATTTATTATTGCTACCTTGACTGCCAAAACGTCCAAAAACGATACTAAATTGTTTATTGCCTTAGTAAGTAGTACAAAGTATCAAAAAACAGGCAGTTAACCATCTTTTTTTTTTTTTACTTTTCAAATGATCTTATGAACCATTAACAACTCATATATAAATGGTTTGTCATTAATATAAAATAATACTTCATTTATAAGTAGTGAAATGATCATCAAGTAAGAAAATACAATTATTAACCACATTATATATGAGCTTATTAATAAAGAATACAACATGTATAACTATGTTTATAAATGACTTACTAATGTGTATTAATGTAAGAACAATGGTTTATAATTGATGAATTAAAAATGTACTAATACTTAACAACGGCTTCATAGTGTGTAGATAATAAAGAATATAACATTAATAACTATGTTTATGAATGACTTACTAATGTGTATTAAAGTATGAACAATGCTTTATAAATGATGAATTCCTTATTTACTAATGCTTAACTAATGCTATATAGTGTGTAGTTATTATAAAGTGCTACCTTGTATTTTATACAATGCTTCACCAACTTGTTTGATGGATTTTGGATGTTTTACTGTAACTGTTCGAGAGCAGAGGGTCTTTGTACATGGTTGTTCTTCAGTTTCCATATTCATCTCCACAGGTGCATCCTTTCACCCCTTCTCTTTATTAGGAAGCCCCCAGGAGAGCAGCTATTTGGTTAGGGTTTCTGATCACACTGCATTGTTGTCACTTCTCCAAAGTCCAGTATCTGAACACGGGAAGGCACTGACTGATTTTATTGCCTTGTTTGAATACAGTTTGCTTAACCTAAATGTTTTTTAAACAAAATAATTAATTATTGAGGTAGAGGTTAGCAGTTGGTGCAGTGGTTGGCACTGTTGCCTCGCAGCAAGAAGATTGTGTATTCAAACCCCGGTTGCCCTGGCCTTTCTGTGTGTATGTTTGTATTTCAGTTCTTTCTTTCAGTTTGTATGTTCTCCCCGTGTCTGCGTAGGTTCTGGTTGCACATGCTGATCGAAACCATAGAAAAAAAGGAAGCCAAAACCACAGCAACAGCTGTTGCTTTCACATGTGTGTGTTTTTAGAGTCACTGTCATTCTCTCCTTAGTTAGTGTCATCTGACTTCACAAATTCTACTCCCACCTGTAGGTCTTTGTAAACAAATGTTCTGAGGAGTTTTTGTAAAGCTTCTCGGCTTCCTTTAACCAGTGTGTGTCTTTGGCACAGTAATACACAGCAGAGTCTTCTGGCTTTAAGTTGGACAGTCTCAGATAAACTATGCTGTTGCTGTTATCTCTGGTGACTTCTAATCGTCCTTGCACACTGCTGGCATAATCTGTTCCACTCGCATCACTGTAAACATGTCCTATCCATTCCAGTGCTTCAGGATATCATGGGGAGGGAGGGGCTCATGTACAGGCTCTCTGTTGAGTTTAATTTTACTGAATCATTTATTTTGTATTCATGGCTTTAATGTAGCTATAACTGATTAATGTTGGACACGATATCACATCAGAAAATAGACATTTTGAAAACGCAGACTATTCATTGATCTTGTTAT